GGTGTGCGATCATCCCGCCACCCTCTCCGTGCTCTCCACTGCTGCCTTGCCCCGGCGTCCAAACCGGGGCATATGGGTTCAAACCCATCGGCAGCTGTCTCCAAGTTGCCTTATCGCGATCTACCTCGATCTCGTGACCGCGGTAACTCCCGACCGCCAAACTCAGGATCCTCTCCTAAACGGTGCTAGGGACCGTATATCCGTCGTTGTTGGGTGGTTTTTNGTCCAAACCGGGGCATATGGGTTCAAACCCATCGGCAGCTGTCTCCAAGTTGCCTTATCGCGATCTACCTCGATCTCGTGACCGCGGTAACTCCCGACCGCCAAACTCAGGATCCTCTCCTAAGCGGTGCTAGGGACCGTATATCCGTCGTTGTTGGGTGGTTTTTCGAGGGTTAACTGCACTTGCGGGCCTCGGCCTCCCCCGGGGAGGGGAGGAGGGGGGGAGGCGGAGAGCTACCCAGTACCGATGCGTTGCAAAACTCGTTGTTAGTAAGCCATAATCGACTTCATAAGTCGCGAGGGAAGGGATTGCTGTACCCTTCTCGTGATATAAATACCTCAGGCAGGAACCGCAGGAGGGGGTCCAACCCCCCCCTCCCATGTGACCCAGGTTGGGTCGTCTAGCTGGTAGAAGTGGAGGATAGGGGCCGGAGGGGCAGGCGACAGAGTCCAACGATGGGAGACAAAAAAAAAAAAACTCAAATAAACTGGCCCCTGCGGGTCCGCAAGTCAATAGAAATCAACGACAGATAAACCGGTCGCCCCGGTGGTCTCGTGGGTACCCTCCCAGCCTGCTAAGGGCCAGGTCATGGGTTCGAGTCCCGGCAGCGTGCGTTTTTCTCACTAATTAAACCCTGGTCTAGGGTGAAAGCGACGCGCTGCAACGCTCGTTGTTAGTAAACTTGATCGACTTCATAATTCGCGAGGGAAGGGATTGCCGTACCCTTCTCGCGAAAAAAATATCTCAGGCAGGAACCGCAGGAGGGGGTCCAACCCCCCCCTCCCATGTGACCCAGGTTGGGTCGTCTAGCTGGTAGAAGTGGAGGATAGGGGCCGGAGGGGCAGGCGACAGAGTCCAACGATGGGAGACAAAAAAAAAAAAANGGAGAAAATATATACATATTGTCTATGGAGTCCTCCATCTGCGCGCTATGCGAGGTAACAATTGAGGCTAGGAGTCACCATTGCAGGCAGGAGAGAAAGAGGTACACCCCCTTGGTTGGGCGAATCTTGGTAGTTCCCAACTACCATGCAATGTCCCTTCTTCCCCTCGCTCCTCGACAAGCTTTTGCTTCGACATGGGTTGTAGCGAAGGGGGGGGTCTTTCTGGCGAGCAGGGCTAAACTCACCCTCAAGGGATGACCGAAACCTTCTTGCTGCTGCGCATATACCGCGAGGCGTGCGTGTGGTGGTGGAGTTGGGTCGGCGCGCTGATGGGGTCAGGCGGGAAAATGTAGATGCGCGGGCCTTTCTGGCCGTCGGCGTTGGCAGTGATGCCCATCTCATTTTTGTGCGCGGAGGCAGACATCATCAGAAAGGTGGACGGGCACTACANTCTAGGTTTGCTAGAGCGAGCTGTATTGCCTCAGTAACCTGGCTTCGCCATCAAAGGAGGAGGGAGCAGGTGGCGACGAGCTGAACTGGGCTGGTTGACCCCTTCGGCGCGAGAATTTTTATTTTTCAGACCAAGAACCTTGAGTGCAACGAGGGAGAAAGCGAGGAACCGACTGGGAAGGACAGCAACGGGAGCGTGTACGGACGGAGCAGGTCGAGTGGCGTTATGCTCGGGCTGACTACAGCGGCGCCGGACGGAGCAGCGGCACCGGAGCATGCGGGCGACATCGACCCGTGGCGCACGGACAAACATTTCTATCTGTGTTGTCAATTTTTTTCGTTTTTCTTCTAACTTTCCGTGTTGGTTTTGTGTGATGACGAGTCACCGGTTTTTTTGTAGAGAGAACCGTCAGAGATCGCGTGGCTAACCCGGGTGCATTGGTTATGTGCCTGATCGTGGAAGACCCCTTCAATGTGGAACGATTCTTAGCTAGTGTCGATATTTTTCACTGCAGTGCCTAACACAGACGATCGGGAGAGATTCGGGTGATTGTCAATTGCTGCTATGATGGCTTTGGTTGGTTGTTCTTTTTCACTGTACGGCCGCAGACACATTCTGACAGCACTTCAGACAGCAGCTTTGTGCCCCGCCAGCTGCTTGTTCCATGCCTACCATGGCGTTTTTGAACAGACAGCACTTCAGACAGCAGTATGCTGTAGTCGGCAATCTTCCGTTTTGGCACTGAGTGGGACAGGGAGGGGGTGATGCTACTTACTGTAGTCGAACGGTGGGACGGACGTGCAGTTCAGTTTTTGGGCACGCATACGGTGCTGCAGGGATTTTTAGGTGTACCTCTTCGGGCTCTTGCATACCTTTTTCTCGTCAGATGTGTGCGTGTTCTTTAGATCCTCAGATGGCTCTAGCACTTTCGTGACCACGGGCNCTTTCGTGACCACGGGCGGAGAGTCTTTGCTAGATTTTGGCATTTAGCAACTGACATACGGTTTGATGTGAAGACAACAACAACAACAACGCAAGCAGAGAGAGACAAGGCCATCTAGCACAGAAAACGAGATAAAAAAGAGAGAAAAAAAAACAGGAAAAAAGAGAAGAAAATAAAAGGAAACAGAGAGGAAGAAAGAGAAAACAAAATGAAAAACAGCGAGGACAAAAAGGGACCAGGCCAAAAATAACAAGAAACAAGACGAGGTAGGAAAAGGCACGCGGTGGAGAGACCACTAACGAACAAGCAAACACGCAAACATGGCCACCAACCAGGGATACATTGTAATGGTACGCCATCACTAGTGGGGGGTTGGTGCAATGTACATGCGTTTCTGGGGTTCGCCTATCGTTTCCGAGGTTCGCCCATTTTTGTGATTCGCCTCCCGTTATTTATGCTACGGAAAAGTCGTCCGATTTCCCACGGAACGGTCAAAAAGAATACCCGACTTTTTTCGCTTGTTCTATTCGTGATGTCATAGCCAAAAGTACGTTTCCTTCCCTGAATACACGCTTTGCGCGGCACACAACAGGTTGACTTGGTGTTGCTCACCATAGAGCAGCGGTAAAAGCGCAATGAGCAGCACCCGACAAAGAGGACAGCACACTTAGAAAGATCCTATCCACCCGGCCTGCTGTTTTCAGTTTTCAGCAACGACAGGCTCAGGGCAGAGTGTCGCAACCAAGGTGTTGCTTGCGATTTCTTCAGTTTGTCAGCTCATTTTTCACGGCTGCCACTCCCAGCTTTGACCACCACCTGCCCAAAGGTAGACGAGGGCGGCAGCCGCGCTGACGGCCAGTATCATATAGATGGCCAATCCGAAAGAATTGGCGTGTCGGAGGCCCTGTTGCTCTTCTGCTGCGTGGTGCCGTGGATTGATGTTGACGTGTCCGACCAAAAACAGATCATCATCTCGCCGTATTTTTTCCAACGGTATTTTGGAGAGGTGGCACACGTCTCTCACACAACGCAAGGTCTAGTTTTGGACCAAGAACGGACTCAACGCCGCTTCTACCGCTTGTCCATCTTCACAACAGACCTGGACGTGAGTTTTTCTAGCGTTCGCAGTGATGTTACAGCGCCCGCGGTGCTTCTGTCCGATGCTTCTGTCAAAAACACGGATGGGTCCATGAAAGAAAGTAGCAAGCCCCACAAAATCCCGGCTGCTTCTTTTCACCTTTTCGGGGGAAAACGCGTCCATAGACTGGAATAGACTACATGTTCAAGAAAAACGATTCCGTGAAATTTTCCGTGAATAATTGTCGTTTAATAATAGACCAAATTACCAGAAACGGGTATATTCCCGGGCACTTTATCACCACTTTAGGGTCCAGTTGGAAATCAACACGCTTGCACCCCCAGGCTGTCAGCTGATTATTGGCCGAAAAACCACTGTTGTTGTTGTTGTTGTTGACTTCACATTAAACCGTATGCCAGTTGCTAAATGCCAAAATCTAGCGAAGACTCTCGGCCCGTGGTCACGAAAGTGCTAGAGCCATCTGAGGATCTAAAGAACACGCACACGTAGCAAGAAAAAGGTGTACAAGAGCCCGAAGAGGTACTACTACACCTATATATAGTCCCTGCAGCACCGTACGCGTGCCCAAAACTGAACTACACGTCCGTCTCACCGTTCGACTACAGCAACATCACCCCCTACCTGTCCCACTCTGTACCAAAACGAATGATTGCCGACTACAGCATACTTGCTGTCTGAAGTGCTGTCTGTACAAAAACACCATGGTAGGCATGGAACAAGAAGCTGGCGGGGCACAAAGCTGCTGTCTGAAGTGCTGTCAGAATGTGTCTGCGGACGTACAGTGAAAAAGAACAACCAACCAAAG